CAAGGATTGTGGCCTTGAGAAGTGAGAGGATGTACTTACTAGTGAGGAATCCAGATCCAGGGTTCAGACAGCTCTTGCTTTTCTCCAGCCAAGTGGTCTTGAGCAGCTCGGTTAGCGTTTCATCTGCAAAATGGGGAGCATACTCCTCTGTCATCGCATTTAAAGATTAAATGAGATAGTATACATAAAGCTTGCAGGACAATGTCTGGCAAATAATAAGAGCATAATAAATGGTTGCTATCATGTAAATTAATTTTCTGTTAAATTTAAATTGCCAAAAACAGGATACACAGGAGATGTAAAATGTTGGAAAATATGTATATAACAAATGCCCAGGCTAATAGTATACTTTCTGGATCATAGAAGGCCTGACCTTGTACACTGCTTTCTTTAACACTGTTTTCATTTTATGTTGTCAAAGGAAAGCCTAATTGTCTGTAATCACATGAAAAAGAATCTTCTTTCTTCTTAGAAAAATACAAACTAATGTGAAAGCCTTGTTAATGCTGTGCGAGCAGCTCCCATCCTCCCACCAGCCTTGGCGCAGTCTGTGCCACTGGTCTGTTTGGTTCTGGTCTGTGTTTTACCCTAATTCAACAGGTGCTCGCTGAGGTCCTTTGAGAAGACGTGTAATAGATATGATAAAGGCAGAGCACATCCCAAAGTCATGTCGTCTCTGCTTCTCCAGGGAGACATAGAGGCTTTTCGTGGCAATTAATTATTCACATTTTCTGTCCTTCCCCTCAAATACTTGGTTTCCTATCCAGCTCCACAGAGGCACGTTTCTCTTGGGGGTGTGTAACTCTAACACCTGATGACAGCTTGAAGCTGCGTTCTGTGTTCTTTACTGTGTGTTTTCGGGTCATGTGCAGCGGGTACATGCCAGTGATGGCCAGAGCATGCTAAGTGCCACCGCCTATTCTCTTTATCTCCTCTGGGCCAGGGTCTAAGCCACTTTCATATCCCTGGTTCACACATTGCAGAGGGGGCTCTAGGGGTCAGGTCTTCATCTTCCTGGCTTGCCTGCTCTTGGCTGCCTCCCAAGCTGCCAGGCGAGCTGGTACTTGGTGGAATGCCTTTCAGCCCACCCCCCTGCTCTGAGGCCGGGCATCTTGCCCTTCTGCAGAGCTGCAAACATTCACTCATCCATGCAGACTTCAGCATCGTCTTTGTTGCTGCTCTCAGGGAAACCTTTGTGTAACTGATTGAGATGGCACAGGGCTGAGTGCCCTGACAACTCTGCTGGGGAGTCACAGAAGCCACCTTCTCCTGGGTCTCTTCACACCCAAGCCTCTCACACTGTGCTACAGGCTTTCCTGGGTCACTGTTTTGCATTCCTTTCATTCATGCACCCACCTGTGGTGCTGGCCTGTTTGAGTTGCCCTCAAGGGCACTGCTGAGATGTGAAGACCTGGGCATGTGCCAATGGGGAGGGTAGTTTCCCAAGACCTGGGGCCAGAGGAAAGAAATATAAGTGGGTATCCAAGAAATGAAGCTGTTGGCAGGTGGCTGGGAGTGAAGCCAGTCAGAACGAGGCGGGAGAGCCATCCAGAGGGGTCACGCGGGAGCCGCCGTGGCCAAACACGGATGGAGAATGGCAGCTGGCCACTCTGCTGTGAAACAGATACAGTGGAGAGACGAGTATACTTCTCTGCAGAGCCTAGACTGATGCTGCACACGGACCTCGGATGCTAGAGTTAATGCTCATAGTCTGTGTGACCTTGGCAGGCAACTTCACCTCCTGTGCCTCAATTTCCTGCTCAATAAAATGGGAAAATCATAGCACCTCCCCCTTCAACAGTGGTTGTAAGGATTAAATGAGTTCATATATGTAGAACATTGAGAAAGCACCCACGTTAGCTAACATGTCACCCTGTGTACCTGGCTACATGCACAGCTGGGGGAAGGATCAGGATGCTGAAGGGACTGCCTGGTGGCCCTGACACTTCTTTATCCAGATGCTCCTTTACTTCACATGGCTTTTTTCTCCCTCGTTGAAGTCATCTGTAAATTCTTCAGGTAAAATTCTTGATCCCTAGATTGTTGAAAGTCTTTCCGTCCTTTTCCATTTGCTTGGAGCATTCACTGATGTTTAGCAAAGTCACATTCTCCAGTTAGGAGTTCAAGGCAGCAGAGAAAAGTGAAATCCATTTAGGTGATGTGGTATTTTCTCCTAATTTTACTGGAGTCACTGACTGGCAGAAAATTTCACTGTAGCTTCACTAAGTTTGTTTCAACTGTATTTCTGCAGATAGCGTCAGGACTGTTCAACCAAACAGAAAGAAGCCAGGCAGGCAGAAAAGGCAAGCAAAGCAAAGGGCCAGAATCATCTCTGAATTCTGATTGTTTTCCTAGCCATCATGATAAATTTCATGATGGATACAGAGTAGGATAAGGACCCGGGGCCATGAATGTGACTTCCTCCATTGCCAAGTCCTTGTCGTCTCCTGCCTGGATCTTCCCCAGTCTTACTCCTTATTTTGCCTATAGCCCACTTCCCTCCAACTTGATCCCAACACCTCTGCATAAAACCTTCCTTTGCCCCTTATCGACTACTAAATTGAGCTGAGGCCCCGTACAGCTTGGTTCTAATCCATTTTTTCCAGGTGCATCTGTTGCCATATCTCAGAATTACCGACCACCCCTTTCCAAATGTGCTTGTTTTTTGCACAATTCGGGACCTTCGTAAACACTCTTCCTAATCTCCTGAGCATTTGAGGGCAATCATGAATGAGAAGCCCTTTACCCTTCAAGACCCAGTTCATATGGTGCCTCCTCCAGGAAGCCTTCTCAGGAGCCTTCCTTCGTCATGTGTAGTGAGTTGGAATTGCTTTATGCTCTCATTTAGCTCATACAAATTTGGGAATACATGCTCAGCCAGTGGGAAGAAAAGAGAGGGAAGACAGTTTAAAGGATTTCACTCACCATTCTACTCCATGATCGCAGAGAGCTGAAACTTGACTCTGTTCTTACCTTAGTCATCCTTAAGTTCCAGAAGCCTCTCAGGTTCCCAAAAGCCTCTTGCAGAGTGAAGGACGTTTGATGAGGAAGAGTCTTGTGTTTAAAGAAACAGCCTATTCTCTTACACATGGTCCTGCTGCAGGATGATTATTTTATCTGGTATTCAACTAAAGAAACATCTGTCTGGCCATCTTGTCTTGTTACAAGTTAGTGGTTTATTGGAAATTCAGGAGACTGTCAGTGTTAATAGTGATACCCTTTTATCACTGTGTTAATATAGATGACCTTTTCTTCACAGTGACTCTAGCCCCCACCCCAAGTTACCATTCCATTGTGTTCCTTTTAGGCATATATCAGATTTAATTTTAATTTTTGATGTTTGTGTTTCCCAACTAAATCATGAAATTCTCATCTTATGGACTTATGGGTCTTCAGAGGACTGCTGCCTGTGGTTGTGCAGGTTGTGCACTGCACAATTCTCAGGAAGTATATCATGCCAGAGTATATGCAAATGTATTCCCATAGTGCTTGGGTGTACGTAATTAGTGCCAGCTTCCTTGTCTCCCCAGTGCGTGGTACAAACTGATTGCTTAATAGATGTGCAAATAATGTGTGAATGAGAGAGAAGACAACAAGCTGGACTGTTTTCAAATGAGACACCTCACAGAGATGAAAATTCAGACAGGTTTTGAGCTGATGAAATTAAAACCATGTTATTGCAGCTGCACATGGTGAAATGGACTTGTAAGCCCACTTGAAATGTCTACCTTCCACAAAAAACAATTACTTTTCATCCTGTGACTTGATCAAGGTTATGATTCCAAAAATCACACCACATTGATAGAACACAATTGACCACATGATTACTCTATGCCTGATACCCCTAGTGGACACTGTGAGGCATATGTGTAAAGACAGGTATAGATTCTAGGTGACTGTAGCCCCCTAAATCACAACTGGCCTAAAGATGTCTCAGTTCCGTTAAATGAGACCTAAAACAGAGAAATACAAATAGAACCATCTTTTAAAAGAGCAAGGCTTTTATCAGGTATATTTACATGATTTAGAAATATGCCAAGTGTGGCCAAAAAACTGTCACCCCATGGGAAAGTGTTGCCAAGTTAAACAGTCAACTTCACGCTTGGAATTCAATACTTTCAGGTGTTCTGCCAGAGAACACAGGGAGGGTGTAACCGACGCATTCAAGATGTGTGGGCTTCTGGGTGGATGTGGCCCAGCAAGGGGCACAAAAGGCAGCCTTTCATGGGCAGTCATGGTCTTACCCCGCTTTCTTTCCACCCTAACCTCAGCCCCAGTAAGCTCCAACAGCAAGAACACTGTGCTTGGCTCCAGGGGTCATCCTTCCCTGTGTCTCCAGCAGCAAGATGATCATGGCCAGGCCCCCACAATAGAGGGCACTGTGGGCAGGACCCATCACCAGCCAGGGTATCACCTGTCCATAGAGTAAGCCCCAGGGGGCTAGCACAGGTCTCTCCTGTCCTCCATCGTTCACCTTGTGCCTCACTCCCTGTAAGGCAGGTAGGAAGGAGCCCATGAGCATGTGTTAACAAAATAAACAAATGAAATAAGCAAACCAGAGGAGTGTGTTGGTATAGGGAACATAAATGGGGTAAGGCCCTGCAGTTATTTCAGGAAATACTAAATGGTGTCCACAAGATGCTATGGCATCTTCTCTAATGGGCCTGTTAGTCCTTCCAAGTCACTTGACTTTCTATTTGTCCAATACGTAAATATAAAGTCACATGTTCCCTATACCACTCAACCTGATGAAATACAGCAACAAGGTTCTCCTCCCTCTGTCCAGCTTGGAGACTATTCAGGTGGCAATAGCCCTTTACTCTTTGGCTGCTAGGGTGTTGGCATAGCAGTTTTTACAGGTAAACTTGGGATCAGAAAATCACAGGTCTTGGAGTCAGTTCAGTTGAATTTGACTTCTCTGTAAAGCCCGTACAGGTCATCACTGAACACTTTAATGAAATAATCATAATTGTATTCATTCATTTTCTGTGTGCCCCCAGGTGAGCTTTCCGTGGAAGAGGCGCAGGACCCTTTCCTGGTCAGCATCCACATAATCGCAGACCCAGGGGAGTCCCAGCCCCTGCAGGAGGCCATCGACAAAGTCTTGGCGTGGATCCACCCAGACCTCCCGCTGTTCCGGGTGTCTGAGAGGCGGGCGTGCCGGCGGCGGCGGAAGCCCCCCAAGGGCGCGCAGCCGGCGCTGGCCGTGGTGCTGTTCCTGCAGGAGGAGTACGGCGAGGAGCAGATCCTGCAGTTGCATCGCACGCTGCAGCAGCCGCCCTGGCGCCACCACCACACGGAGCGCGTGCACGGCCGGTTCCTGCCCTACCTGCCCTGCAGCCAAGACTTCTTCACGCTGGCCCCTGGGACGCCGCTGTGGGCCATCCGGCCCGTGCACTACGGCAAGGAAATCGTGCGCTTCACGGTGTACTGTCGCCATGACAACTACGCGGACAGCCTCAGGTTCTACGAGCTGATTCTCCGGAGAAGCCCCAGCCAGAAGAAAGTGGACTTCTGCATCTTCCCTATTTTCTCCAATCTGGATGTAGACATCCAGTTTTCCCTGAAAAGACTGCCCTGTGACCAGAGCCCGGTGCCCACCGACTCGTCCGTGCTGGAGTTCCGAGTGAGGGACATCGGTGAGCTCGTGCCTCTCCTGCCCAACCCTTGCAGCCCCATCAGCGAGGGACGCTGGCAGACGGAGGACCACGATGGGAACAAGATCCTCTTGCAGGTACTGGGGGGATGCCTGTCTGTCTGTGTAGGGGACCAGAAAAACAAGTCGGTTAGCTCTGCCTCAAACCCTGTAGTACCAGTCACAGAGTAATGAACAAGGAAGGAGCAATCAGTGACCCTCTGCCCAGCTCCTAGGCCAAGTCAAAGTGGCCATACTGGATCTCAACAAAAGAGGGGGCACGAAAGACTCTTCCCATTGGTTCTTTTCATTTCACTATCAGCAAACATGCTCCCAATTCTTCCAGGTGCCCCTCTGTCATTCCCTATTGAGTATCCACTAAACACCCAGGGCTCCTGGGGATTTCAAATGAGCTTATAAGTGAGGGAATTTGCTATTAAAGATTCCTGGCCGGGCCGGACGCGGTGGCTCACGCCTGTAATCCCAGCACTTTGGGAGGCCGATGCGGGTGGATCACGAGGTCAAAAGATCGAGACCATCCTGGTCAACATGGTGAAACCCCGTCTCTACTAAAAATATAAAAAAATGAGCTGGGCATGGTGGCGTGTGCCTGTAATCCCAGCTACTCAGGAGGCTGAGGCAGGAGAATTGCCTGAACCCAGGAGGCGGAGGTTGCGGTGAGCCGAGATCGCGCCATTGCACTCCAGCCTGGGTAACAAGAGCGAAACTCCGTCTCAAAAAAAATAAAATAAAATAAAATAAAATAAATAAAATAAAGATTCCTGGCCGGGCACGGTGGCTCAAGCCTGTAATCCCAGCACTTTGGGAGGCCGAGGCGGGTGGATCACGAGGTCGAGAGTTCGAGACCGTCCTGGTCGACATGGTGAAACCCCGTCTCTACTAAAAATACAAAAAATCAGCTGGGCATGGTGGCGTGTGCCTGTAATCCCAGCTACTCAGGAGGCTGAGGCAGGAGAATTGCCTGAACCCAGGAGGCGGAGGTTGCGGTGAGCCGAGATCGCGCCATTGCACTCCAGCCTGGGTAACAAGAGCGAAACTCCGTCTCAAAAAAAAAAAAAAAGATTCCTGAACATATGCCCATGCACTTAGACAGTTTTTACCACTGGATTCTTCCGTCCCACAAAGCAGGAAAGCCCATCTATCTGGAAATGTTAAAATAGATATTGATGTTCATAGAGGAGATAGCTGTTCTCTTCCCTCGGGCACCTCCCCCACCTTCTACCCTTGCACCGTTCTGCTGGGCAGCAGGTTGTCGAAATCCTGTGATCACTTGGAAAATGATGCCTTCTTAAACATTTTCAGGAGTAAGTGCTGCCTTGGGAGCTTCTGGTTTCACTCAGCTTGGAGGGTGTGAGTGAATGCATTTTAAGGACAGTAGGCTGCCCTGGTCCTTCCACAGTGAATTCTTTAGCTGCATTATCAGCCCCCTTTCTCCTCTCATCCTTCCAGTGGCTGTCCCAGACTCATTAGAGATAATTAGTTAAACTCAATTCAAAATTCAGCATGTATATTACAGAACATCCGACATCTGGTCCTACATGATAAATGCTTTCCAGACCCAAGCTTTCTTGATTTAACAAGTAAATCAGTTCCAGGAGTATAGGGCTTTATTTTTCTGAAAAGCGTCTACCTCCGATGTCTCAGTTTTCACATTTGGCTACCCTAAAAGAGAAAGTTGATAGTGAACTGGGGACATTGCCTTAAGAGGCACAGATTGTAGTTACTTGAATCACAGGTAAAGTTTCATCATTTTTGTTGGTTTTGGCTTTAAGCACGAGAACTGTAATCCACATATCATGAAATGAAGTCAGAATTTGGCACATGTCAGATAACTGGTTCAGACTACAGCCAGGCCTCATTTCTCATCAGAAAGGTCACCTTGAGATACTATTTATAGGAACTAGATAATTTTCACACTTCCATTTGAACTATGCAGATAAGGAAATAAGTAATGTTTTAGTATTCAATAAGCTGGATGCCAGCTTTGACGCTATAATCCCTTTTGAAATGTGAGAAAAATTGTCTTCTGTGTTTGAAGAATGCCAAATCTTTATGCAAAATATAATACAGTTGCACCAAATGAAAGTTAATGAAATGCAAAGGATATTGTTTATACTAAAAGACCAACAAGAATGTGACTGTTTCTGAAGTGACTTCTTTATTTTTGTAGTAATTAGAGCACTTCTTTCCCCTGATCCTTCTAATAAGATAAATAAGAAAATGCAATTTGAAAGCTTGGCCTGGGTTCTGCTCAAAGGAACCATGGAAAGAATATTTCAAAAAAGATCCACACATTTAAATGGCTATAAAATCTATAGAGGTGCAGGCTTTTGAAGTTAGAGCAACAGAGTGTGAAAGAGTAGAAAAAAAATTTGTATCTTGGGACTCAGGAACGTAGCCTTTGTTCAAATAGTAGTATGTTGAGGAATTAAATTAATGTGGGCAGAAAGGATGCATAACTTCCTCTCCCAGGATTCCTGGTAATGGCCATTCAAGCAGGTTCCTTTTCAGCTGCATCAGTGCAGATACCTATCATGAGATCCACACCCGCCCATCTCTGTAAGTTACTTTCCAGAGTAAAAATTTGTATTTCAGTCTTCAGTGAAATTAAGGTAGTTAGGTCTTGGTGGGAGGAGCAGTTGAGAGTGAACCTTTCTATCCACATACTCTTTAGCAGTGTGTCTTCCCTGAGTGCCATTTTGAACTGTAATGCTTAAGATAATTTTTTTTGTTGTTTAGTTGAATGAAGCTATATATTGAAGAAAATCTCAATTGAGTAGTTTTTAGTTGCTTTCTGAAAACATAGGTTTTGGGGGTTTTTTGTTTGTTTGTTTGTTTTCCTGAAAGATTGCATTTATTTCCTCATCCTACCCTACTGACATAACATTCCATATTTCAGGGCTTTCTCCTCCCATTTTAATTCCCCCAGAGAATAAAAATTGAGATTTTTTTTCTTTTTTTTTTTTTTTTGAGACGGAGTTTCGCTCTTGTTACCCAGGCTGGAGTGCAATGGCGATGTCGGCTCACCGCAACCTCCGCCTCCTGGGTTCAGGCAATTCTCCTGCCTCAGCCTCCTGAGTAGCTGGGATTACAGGCACACGCCACCATGCCCAGCTAATTTTTTGTATTTTTAGTAGAGACGGGGTTTCACCATGTTCACCAGGATGGTCTCGATCTCTCAACCTCGTGATCCACCCGCCTCGGCCTCCCAAAGTGCTGGGATTACAGGCTTGAGCCACCGCGCCTGGCGTGATTTTTTTCTTTTTCTGGACTCTACTCGGCCGCTCGTAAGACTTTGGAAATGCTTTTTACTGAGATTAGATAAAATGGAAAGGAAGCTGTCCTCTTCCTGAAACGTATCTTCCCTTCATTCTTGGCATTGCCTGATTCTTGGTGGGAGGGCAGCGAGGCAGGTGGGGAGTTACTAGCATCATGAGTTACCCAGGAGTCCTCTGGAAAATGCAGAGGGGGCATGAAAGACTCTTCCCATTGGTTCTTTTCATTTTAGTGTCAGCAGACATGTTCCCAGTTCTTCCCAGTGCCCCCTGGAAGAATTTTCTAGAAATTTGCACTGATGCCTGCTGATACTAAACTATGGCTTTGTGGAGTCAAGAACCGTTTCATCAATCTTTCCAGATGCCCTTAGAACTGAACTGACATTCTGCTTTGAACACAGTAGGTTCTCATTATATGTTTTTGTTTGCTTTGTATTAAAGAATATTAATTATGTATATACCAAAAAGTTCACATTATAAACATACAGCTCAATGAATTTTACGATGGCTCAAGCCTGTAATCCCAGCACTTTGGGAGGCCGGGGCGGGTGGATCACGAGGTCGAGAGATCGAGACCATCCTGGTCAACATGGTGAAACCCCGTCTCTACTAAAAATACAAAAAATTAGCTGAGCATGGTGGCACGTGCCTGTAATCCCAGCTACTCAGGAGGCTGAGGCAGGAGAATTGCCTGAACCCAGGAGGCGGAGGTTGCAGTGAGCCGAGATCGCGCCATTGCACTCCGGCCTGGGTAACAAGAGCGAAACTCCGTCTCAAAAAAAGAAAAATAAGATAAACCAAGTGTGGCATCCCAAATGCATGTCATTTCCCATATACTTTCTAGATCTATACCGTTCAATGGTAGCCACTAGCTACATAGTTAACGTGGCCATTAAAATGTAAATGTAAATGTTATTCCTCGTTTGCACTATACACATGTGGCTAGTAGCTACTGTTCTGGACAGCACCACTGCAAAATTTCCCTCATCACAGAAAGTTCTATCAGCCAGCACTGTTCCAGAAATAAGACCAAAGTTGACTTTGAGTTCTTGTAGCAGCAAAAGCAAAATGGAAAATCAGTAATATGATTCAGAGCTCATGAAGGAACAACTATGCTTTAGATACACAAGCAGTCCCAGTTCAGAGTCCTGGAAGCAAAAGCCCCCACCACCACCTCCCCCCCAGCATCTCACATGCTCAGTGGTGTCAACAGCCTGTGCTCAGAACACAGCAGGGGACTCCCAAGGCAGCCTCCCGCTATCCTCCTGCCTCTCCCCTCATCTGCCCGTGACCCTGCGTCACTTGGGGTCCTTCAGAACACAGGGCATCTCCCACACTCACCTCCCCTTGATTCTTTCCCCACATAAACACATGCTGGCCACCTCATCCCTGCAGGTCTCCCCTCATGAGTGAGGCCTCCCCAGAGGGTCACGGAGATCTGTGGGAAGAATGGTCACGGTGAAACATAGTTGTCCCTCTCTTATTCTCAGGCACAGACACTCCAGCCCATCCCCCTCACCTCGCTGTGTTCCTTCACGTAGCACTGTCATGCTGCCCACATCACAGGCTTGCCCACCTTCCCACCAGGGACAAGCACCTTGAGGGCAGGTCTTGGTCTTTTGGGCCCGCTGCCGTCACCTTAGAGCCTCTAACAGTGTCTGGCACGTGTTAGACACCCAGTGTTTATGGACCGAATAAAAGGAGGAAAGGGAGGGAAGGTGGTGAGGATGACATCCTTGGGCTGGTGGGGGTGTGCGCGGGAGGCTGAGGGAGCCATGGAGAGCCCTGGCAAAGGGGTTGGTT